TGGCTATGGCGATGATTGTTTATCTCGTACTCATTCTTTCTCATCCTATTCCTTCCACTACCAAAAATTTGGCTTTAGATTGCACTGGATAGGCATCCAGACTTATGTTACCGATGCCATTCAATTCATAATTCAGCTCATGCTGTGCAAGCCGCCCTTGTAGGAACAAGAGAGATATGATGACTGCATTGGCATCAAATCCCACTCACTCACTTGGGGTAAAGGAAGTGATGTGCTTTATATGTGCACTGCACATGACAAAACCGTGCGGATTTCTTGTCACTTTCTTTTCCAACCTCGTATGCCAAGTAATTAAACATGCCATTAATCCAATCCAATTTTAGCTGCCAAATGAGGCGATAGGGAGATTAGGGACAAATGCACTAACTAGAAAGAACATGCCATTAATTCTACCATTCGTCAGGATTGAAATTGATAAGTTTCTTTATTTCCAAAGGCAATGTTGGACATTAACGAAGATATTCTCTATGTTTTGTAAGAAATGGAGACTACTTGTGAGGCTCATTTTTTTTTGTGACACGATATGATAATCTACACTAAATTCATCTAAATTTCGGGAGGGAGATGAGGTTTTTGTTTGTAAAGAAAGAAGGATGAGCAATGGAGGGTGGTTAGCAAAAATACACTTAATATGAATTATATTGAATTACTCTCTTTCTTTATCGAAATTCAGAGTGTATGAAGCTATTCAGTAGTTTTCTTTTTAATGAAATCGAAAAACGAAGAGATTGAACAACGAATTTATTAAATTTAATACATTATAGAGAGATGAAAAGACATATCTCGTCCAACGTGCAACAAGCTCATTGCATGCTCATACTCCTTTCTCTAATGACATTGTATATAGGTTACCTCCTCTAATGACATTATATAGGTTAGCCTTTACATTTGTCAATCCATTTCAATTTTATTGCCATGTCTTATTATTCCTTTCAACAAAATGGTTAGATATTCATATTCACCTCCAACGCATGACGCTCTAAAAATTGGGTCGTTTTCATTGCTTAACAAATCTTCGGCGGACAAATACGAGACGGGAGAATTTGACGCTGGAGGATACAAATGGTTAAACCCTCATTATATCTTCTGCTCGCGTTTGAGTTTAATAACATCTTCTGCAAACTTATGTTTCAATTTCACTGTTTGGCATTAGTTCTATGACATTTTTTTGGTAATGCAAGAATGTGTTTTTTATATTACGTGCTGTGTAAGCTGGTAATTTTTTTTTTTTTTGCCATACTGTGTGTTTGCTCTCAGGAAACTAGTGCTCTACCCGAATGGAAACAAGAAGAAAATTGCGGAAGGCTACATCTCTGTTTACTTGGAAATGGTTGGAGCTGAAGGAGCTTGATCAGAATAAAGGCATGTTCCTTGTTCTTCAAGGTACATTATATCTACTTCAAAACCTAATTCCCATCAAGTGATCATATTCTTTGAGAAAAAAAAGAAAAAAAAAATAATCAAGTGATCATATTCATAGACCCGAAATTTTTCTTGTTAAATTGCAATGCTCTCTAGTCCTACTCATTTCCTGATCATTATTTTTTTTCTTTTCATATTCCATAGATGCCAAAAAGGAAAAATGCTTCCATGGGATGATGCGTTATTCGGGATTTGATAAGCTTATCTTTTATCATTTACCGATGCTTCCAACGGTTCTGTCATTAATGATTCCTGCGTGATTGGTGCTGAGGTCTTTGTTCGTATCGAAAAAAGAGATGGCAAAGTAGAGTCTATATTGACGATCAAGGATGCTGTCATCCACAAGCATGTTTGGAAGGTTGAGAACTTTTCAAAGTTAGGTGATGACCTCTACAAATCAGAACCCTTCACTGCCGGGAATAGTATCTCTGCCTGGACTTTCATATTATTACCTTAAGATCTATTCAAAATTTTAATCCACTATATAATCTCTTATCACTCATCTTGTTGCAGGAAGATAGTGCTCTATCCCAAGGCAAAATGGCGCTGGAATGGGTACTCATATTTCTCTTCACTTGGAATTGGATGATCCGGAAAAATATCCTGGTTCCAACGTGTTTGCAGAGTTTTCCCTGCGCATTGTCGTTCAATTGCACGCCAAACATGAGAGCTTTAAAGGTAAAGATTGTCCTATTTTAGTGTTTAATTTATTCATCCTTTATAACATGTGGGTTTATTCTGTGCAGCTAATATGGTCCAGTTCCTCGACTACCAGTTGGGGTTGGCCTAGCTTTATTTCACTGGACACTCTCGATAATTCGGACAGAAGATTTTCCGTGAAGGATTCTTGCATAACGGAGGCCGTTGTCACAATCCGTGGAACTGCAACAGCATTGTAGTCGGCACTTCGTATGTTAATTTTGCTATTTCTAAAATGATGTTACGAATGAAGGGACAAATGTTTGATTTGCTAAAATGATGTTTTGATTAAGGGAAGGCATGTTAGTCCATGAAATTGTAAAAGCACATGTCTAAATGTGGCTTATCAAACCCCAGTTCTAAAGTCCTTGTTCACCAAATGACTTGTTATTGAAGAGTATTTTGATGTTTGTAATAAATTTAGGGTGAAGTTTGTTACTTTTGTGAATTGAAAGGCCCCTTTTCTTCTTTTAAAATGTGTAATGCGTTAAACATATTGAGCCATTGACATGCACATTTTTAACATGTCACCTTATCGTGTGAGGTTATTTAAGATTGATATAACCTTAACATTTACGTAATAATGCCTTTTTAGAAACAGCCAAAAGAAACAGTTCAACATTCATGTATCATCTATTAAATCGTGTCCCGGCCGGTTCAAATTTCAAACCCTCCCCTTCCCTTCAGTGTTGAATGATGTAGAGTGTTGCTTATAACAAAAACAAAAATAAAAAATCTGTCACTCAGTATAGCATCTTAGTGTTTAGTATAAAAAAACTTGAGTAATGCTAAGTAGACTAAATTTACAAAGATGTATCATCAATAAGAAATAAACACGTTAATCAACATTTGAGTAATAATCCAATTATCAACTTCCATATCATTGAGTTTACAAAATTTTGTCTACAAATTTAGTCTCCTTAGCATTACCCAAAAAACTTTGTTTGGATTATGATATTTGGTTATAGAAAGCAACATTAATAGTTATTCAGTAGCTATTCAGTGCAAAGAGGGTAGAAGTGATTTACTATGGGATATAATTAAGTTCTTGTTGAGAACTTGATTAACAACGCGTTATGCACAAGCATGTTTGGAAGGTTGAGAACTTGTCAAAGTTAGATGCATATGTTGGGTGCTACTACTCGGAAGCATTCACTGCTGAAGACTTGAGGTGGTATATTTGATGATAAGATATTTAACTCTCGAAAAGTCATTCACCATCTTATCAATACCTTTTATAGAAAATGTTGTTAATCTTACTCGAGCGTCGAATCTCTTATCCTCCTATCATAATAGAGCTAAATCACCTTTGTTAATTTTTTTTCTTCAATGGGTTGCTAAATTTTTTCTTCAATGTGTATAAAACTGTTGTTTTAATTAAAGTAGGATGTTCATGTCTTGAAATGTAATCTTATTCTTCATGTGATGGCTGTTGCAGGAAGCTACTGCTCTATCCTAAGGGATATCAGAAAGGTAAGGGTACTCATATTTCTCTCCACTTAGAATTGGATGATCTAAAGGAACCTGTTAAAACCCTCTCTTCTCTTACAAAAGTCGCTGGAAGCCTTGAACCATCATTCGTGGAAATATGTTAAAACAACTTGAGGGTGAGTGTTATTTAGGCCCGTTGAACAAATAGGCTCATTAAATCTTCTACATAGGTTCATTGACTCTTAGGTTTGAATTTTTGGGAATTTAATTTATTTTTTATCAATCTTAGAGTTACAAAGTTCGGTTTTTCATAGTTAGTCATTAAAAATCCGTATTGGGTCACTCTTAATGTTTTCAAATAAATCTCGATCCCACGAACACGTAAGCAAAAACTGTATGCGAATCAGAGTTATTGAAATGTTATTTGTTGTTGATTGTGAGTTGTCTAGAATGCTATGTCTTCCTAGATAATGCCATGAGAATTTTTGGAAGTCATTGCAAATACAATTTTTTTTAGATTAACAAAATGGTGAATTATGATTGGCTTGATCCCTTTCGCATGTACATAATCAGTTTATTTTTGTCATGTCTCGAGATCAAAGTGGGACAACTTTAATAGTATCGGATCTTAGGTATTAAGTGCTCTTACCTCTACCATAAGGTGAGGACTATGTGTGTTGAAGAAAAAAAAAAGGAGAAAAGCAAAAAGAAAAAGTTGACAACAAAGAAAAAAAGAGAAAGTTAAAGCTAAAAAGAAAAAGTTGAAGTTGGCTTCCAATATTTCTCAATGGGGATAAGGATTCTCTCCTAATCCTTTTTACGAAGATCTCAGATATCCTAGCATCTTATACATTGTGCGGTTAGTTATTTTTAAATATTATTTGTGTTTAATTTTATATAAAAAAATAAAAATAATTTATAATCGTAATAAATGAATATGAATCCTCACAAAGAGGATCCAGATGGGATTCAAATCCTCTCAATGGAGCTGCAAACCGGTCCCTAAATCTATTATCGCAACAGCACTAACAAGAACCTTTTCATATTCTTCTAGATAGTAGCCTCGGGTTCAAGTTATGTTGCTAATTTAAAGTTCCAAATTTTCATTTTAATGGGCATCAATATTGCCTCATTTTGCTTGGGAAGAAAGGTTTGAGTGCTTTGTGTTGGTGAAGAAAGACCTTTGTGTGGTGTGAAGATTAAAGTATACGCGTCTTCCTTTATACAATCTTTTCACTTTCAAATTTACCAAACCGAAGGTATATCCAGTGTATGAAGCTATTGAATACAGTATAGAGAGATGAAAAGACACATATCGTTCAATCTGCAGCAAGCCCATTGTGTGGTGAGATTTTTTAGTCTGTTCAAAACACAGAGTGATACATCACATATCATCATACAATTGGAAAGAAGTTTTTTTTTTTTAAGTGTATAATGACATGTGGCATACCACACTATTTGGGGCACACTGAAAAATCTTTTCATTGGATGCCCGTACTTCCTTCTCTAATGGCATTATATATATAGGTAAGCTCCTCTTGAAGCAAAAGATAACAGTTTAGCCTTAACAGTTTGTTAATCAATTCCAATTTTATTGCCATGGCTTGTAATCCCCTTCGACAAAATGGTTAGATAACTTATCTGCTTTATATTAGCGGTTTTCAGATTTCAGGATATTGTTATATGCCAGAGATGCCTGATATACGCTTTCATCAACACTATTTTGTTTCAGGGTTTTTAACATCGTATTCAGATTCAGCTCCAACTCATTACACTATAAAAATCGGGTCATTTTCATGGCTAACCGAAATTTTTGCGGACAAATATGAGTCGGGTGGATTTGAAGCTGGAGGATACAAATGGTGAATCTCCCATTATATCATCTGCTAAAGTTTTAGTTTAATATCATCTTGTGCAAACTTATGTTTCACACTCACTGTCAGACACTAGTTCTATGACATTTTCTCTGTAATGCAATAATGTGTTTCGTGTATCATGTGCTGTGTAAGCTGGTTAAAAATAAAATGTTAGCCATACGCCCCATACTGTATGTTTGCTCCCAGGAAACTAGTGCTCTACCCGAATGGCAACAAGAAGAAAAATGTGGAAGGCCACATCTCTGTTTACTTGGAAATGGTTGGAGCTGATTCACTTCAGACGGGATGCGAAGTATATGTTGATTTCAGGTTCTTTTTGCTTGATCAGAATAAAGGCACGTTCCTGGTTCTTCAAGGTACATTATACCAACTTCAAAAGTTAATTCTCATCAGGTGAACATATTCATAGACAAGAAAAATTTCTTGTTTGCAAATTGCAATGCTCACTGCTCATTTGCTGATATTATTTTTTACCCTACATCTTCCATAGATGCCAATAAAAAGGAAATATGTTTCCATGGGATGATGCGTTATTCGGGATTTGATAAGCTTATCGCTCTTAAATCGTTTACTGATGCTTCCAATGGATATGTCATTGATGATTCCTGTGTGATTGGAGCTGAGGTCTTTGTCTGTAAAGAAAAAAGAGCCGGCAAAGGAGAGTCAATATCAATGATCGAGGTTGGTGTTATGTGCAAGCATGTTTGGAAGGTTGAGAACTTTTCAAAGTTAAGTGCTGACTGCTGCGAATCAGAACCATTCACTGCCGGAGAACGAAAATGGTATCTCTTCTAGGCCCTTTATATTAATGCCCTTAATAAGAGAATTTTTAATTTTTAATCCACAGTATAATCTCGTATCACTCATCTTGTTTTACCTGCATGATAATAGAGAGTACTAATCACCCTTGTTAGCTAAAGTCAATTTTCCTCCAAACAAGCATATGGTTTTTGAGTATCAAACTATATATGCAATTTTAACTACACAACTTTCGCACTAGATGTGGTCGATCACTGTAAAACATGTTGAATTTTTGCTTCCAATGTAGGGCTTTGCTCTTTTAATTCAAACCCAAAGAGGTGAGGTGAATAGGGTCCCATCCCAATTAACGAGAGATACGTAATAAAAAGTTATCATATTCTTACCAACGTTGCAGGAAGATACTGCTCTATCCCGAGGGAAATGGCGATGGAAAGGGTACTCATATTTCTCTTTTCCTGGAATTGGATGATCCGGAAAAAGTTCCTGGTTTCAAAGTCTTTGCAGAGTTTTCCCTGCGCATTGTAGATCAAATGCATGCCAAACATGAGTGGTTTATAGGTAAAGATTGTCCAATTTCAGTGTTTAATTGTATGAATCCTTCATAACCTCAGGGTGTATTATGTGCAGCTAACAACTGGTTCAGTAACTCAACTCGGGATTGGGGTTGGTCTACGTTCCTTAAACTGGAAACCTTCAATCAGGCACACAAGGGGTTTCTGTTGAACGATACTTGCATATTGGAGGCAGAGGTCACTATCCATGGAATTGCGGAAGGACTATAGTCAGCTTGTATTTGATTTCGGATATTGTGAAAATGATGTTAATTGACTTATGAATACGAATGTAGTTCTGGATCCGCGATATGGTTTGTCCTAAAAGTGGCGTTCTGTAGAACCCTAGAGCTGCAATCCTTTCCACCAAATGACTTGTGATTGAAGTGTATCTTGATAGGACCTGTTTTCTTAAAAAATCCGTCCTGTGAGACATATGCCGAGTCTTGACCAGTTATTTTAAAGTAGCTTATCTTGTGTTTAGCTAAAAACTTTGTTTGGTTAGTCTAACCTTAACTTGTTTGAAAATGCTACACCGTAAACATTGTTCCTTTGCATAAGAATTAAAATTGCAGAATGTGTTTCGAAGCACCCACAAGCAGGTGATGGATACCTTTTCAACGAAACAAAGGCAACCTTTTTGAAGCAAAGCATAACAATTCAATCTTTAAAAGGTTTCATGTTAGGAATAACACCTTTAACTTTTCCTTATAAAAGCGGGAAAACATATTTTATTCTAGAACTGAAGATACAAATGGTACAATCCTTTCTCTCAGTTTCTAAGAACAAATTCTTACTATTTCTATTTTCATAAACTTTCCATCAATTACTAGTATTTTCTTCTTATTTTCGAGCTGCTTAATTTATAATAGTATAATTTGTTGTATTGCTGCAGGAAACTGGTTTTCTATCCAAACGGAAACAAGAACATGAATGTGAAAGAACCTCTCTCTACTTGGTAATGTCAGGAATAAATGCCCCCCAGATTTCTTCAGAAGTGTATGCTGTTTTCAGGTTGTTTTTGCTTGATCAGAACAGCCACTACTTTGTTTTTCAAGGTACTATTTCTTTCATTCAATTCAAACAATCAAGAAGCTTATAGTTCTCATATTTGCAAAGCATCGTCTCATTTTCTTGTATGTTTTCCCCGTCCATTGCTTTGAACAAAAGGAAAGGCCCTTTCATGGGATGAAATTCGATTTGGGGTTCGATCAATTTCTCTCCCACAAAGCTTTCACTGAAGCTTCCAATGGATTCCTCATTGATGACACCTGTGTGTTCGGAGAGGAGGTCTTTGTTTGTACAGAGCGAAGCACAGGCAAAGGACAATGTCTATCAATGTGGTAAAGGATCCTGTTATGTACAAGAATACTTGGAGGATTGACAACTTCTCAGAGCTAGACGCCGAATCCTACGACTCAAAAGTATTTACTGCGGAAGACCTGAAATGGTATATAACCCTAAACTTGTTAGACTTCTCTCCCTCTGTAATAAATTTCTCTCGAAGACATCGGAAGCTTAAGCACGGTTTAACTAAATATTTTGTAAATGTTTTGGTTGTTTTGCAGGAAGATACAGCTCTATCCCAAGTTAAAAAGGCAATGGAGTTGGTGCCCATCTGGCTCTTTGGGCGTTAGCCGAACCAAAATCTCTTCCTCCTGACTGTAAAATATATGCAGAGTTTAGCCTATGCCTCCTAGACCAGGTGCATGCCAGACATCAGTTTGGTAAAGGTAAAGATTTGCTTAATCCAATTGCTACATAATCATATGAGGAAATAAGGATATGAAAATGTTATAAACTTCAAAATTAAGGATGTTTTATTGCCGGCCTCTTATGAAATTCACCCCATGAACGACGACGACGCTCGAGTTCTTTGTGGCGTTTGAATCTTGATGGCATACGATACAACGTGGTGATGCTTACTATTGAACTTGAGTTCTGTGGAAGGTTGTTTGATAATTTATGCTTGTAACCTACTGAAAGTGTTCACAATTTGTGGTTGGTTCTTGCGAAATGTTGACTCTTGTTGGGCTTTTAGTAGAAAGCAACTGAATGTTTTGAGTAACACTAAAAGGACGATAATACATAGACAACAATATAATCTGTTGTTTAGGGTCATTTAGTTCTATTTTTTATGAAAAGTTCGTAGCGTCTTTGTGCGTTAGATTCCAAGATACTCGTAAACTTATAAAACTTTTGGTGCTTGTAGTAAATTACTGGTTCAGTGCTTCAAATTTAGAGTGGGGATGGTGGAGATTCATTACACTGAGTCTTTTCAATCAGGTAGGCATGGCGTTTGTGTTGAAGGATACATGCTTCGTGGAGGCAGAGGTCACTGTCCATGGAATTACTAGCGCACTATAGCCAAATTGTAAAATAGTAAAAAAATGCCTGCTATACCAGAAATTACCAATCGCCCGACGAACCAAATTTCGTTGAGCAAAGTGCCTTTACTCAATGGAATTAAAACATGGGGTATTTTGATATGGGTCTAAAGTAACTAAAAATTAGACTTATTTCAAAAGTCAAAAGTCACTAAAAATTGGACCTATTTCAAAAGTAGGCATATAAAATTGGACCTATTTCAAATTTTCCCTAAAAACATTGGTCGGGTAAAAATGATCAACGTTTTAAATTTTTTCAGAGGCTTTAGGCGATTGAAACATTTCGACGAGCAAAGTAAATTCGCCAGACAAAAATTATGTGCCAAGGGAAAAATGTCTAACTTTTGCCTGACAGAACAACAATTCGTTGGCGAAGGTATCTTTACCTGACGAACCATGTCATCAGACAAATCCCAATTCATTAAATATTTCATTGGTCAATTCTCCTTTTTCTTGGTGACTTAGGGTTTAGAGTTTACATTTCGTTGGGAAATTTCAAAATTCATTTACTTAAATTTTAAAAATTATGGATTGATAATCTTAATTGGGTTTGTTTTTGTTTTTGTTTTGTAGGCTTCTGTGTTGCAGAAGAAGGACGAGTACCTTGCCAATATCTCCTACAACCCGACACGCCAATGGAGGAGCTGACACCTGATCTAGAGGTGTTGCTACCGCTCAAAATTTACAGGTTAATATATTAAAACACTAAACCTTTGGTGGGCTTAGGATATGGACTACAATGAAATGGACTCCAAGATTTAAGGGTAAAAGACTATTTACTACCCTCATGTTTCGTGGTTTTCAACATTTAGTACATCAAGTTTTTTTCGTCTCAGAGTCATAACTAAAGTGTAAATTTTGGGACAATCTCATACATCTGTTAGTCAAACTGTTAAGTTTTCTGTTAATTGATGATGTGGCGCCCACGTGGACAATGACTAGGCGTCACGTGTCAATAAGGGGTCCACTTGGAATTAAAAATTCAAAAAAATATTAAAATAATTAATTTTAAAAATATTATATATATATATATATATATATTTTTTTTTTTTTTAGAAGTTGTCTTCTTCCTGAACCCCCCTCCCCAAATGACCCTCCCTCCCATCTCCTTCCATTCTCTCCTCTGCTCCCACCCAAGTCGCCGCCGCCACCCCATCCCCGGTTGACCAGGCCCACCTCCTCCGGGTCTGCACCATTCAACAGAACTCGCCCGAGTCACATCTCCACTCGAACCTCAACTGTTTCGCCTTCCAACTCACCCACAAGTTCTTCCTTCAGATCTGCAACTCCTTCCTCCTTTCATGGCGGCCCGTCTTCCACCCAGATATGCAACTCCTTCCTCCAGATTTGCAACTCATTCCCACCACCCCGATTTCTTTAACGCCATGAATGGGTTTGGATTTGGGTGCGATTTGGGGAATTTGAATGTGGTGGTTGAGGATTTATGTGGGTTGAAGCTCGTCGTTGAGGCGAGATTTCTGGTTTTGAAGTTGAAGGAATCGATTCGGCCCGATGGATGTGCAGCGAATAGAAGGGAGGGAGAACGAAGGGAGAAGAGAGAGGGGTCGGGTGGAGAAGATGAAAGGGGTGGAGGGGATGAGGGGTGTCGGGTGGGGATGGAGGAAGGGGGTTCTGGGTTGGTTTTGGACTTTTTTTTAATATAATATTTTTAAAAGTAATTATTTCAATATTTTTTTTGAATTTTGAATTCCAAGTGGACCCCTTATTGACAGGTGGCACCCAGTCATTGTCCACGTGGGCGCCACATCATCAGTTAACGGAATACTTAACACTTTGATTAACAGATGTATGAGACTGTCCCAAAATTTACACTTTAGGTATGACTCTGAGACGAAAAAAACTTGATGTACTAAATGTTGAAAACCACGAAACATGAGGGTAGTAAACAGTCTTTTGATTTAAATAGTTCACCCCTCAAAACTGGGCTACATCCACTATGTTGCTTGAATTATATTGATTTCAAGACTAAAATAGGGCTCGGCTAATACATGAACTCTCTCCCCCTTCAGTCGTCTAACCCCAATATAGGAGGTTCCTGCCCCTTTATATAGGCCCTCAATGAACCTCCCCTCCCCCACAATCTTGGTCTTCCCCAACTTGGCATTTAATGTGCCACCTACATAGCCTAGCATACTAACACATTTTCACCTATCAACTAGACATTCGGAGATGAAGTGACATGTGTTTGGTCGAGATTGCATGTACTTTTAGAATGATGCAGGTCGAGAGCCCTACTTGCCTTGGTTATCCAACCCCATCTTTTCGAGCGTTGAACTTTACGTCATATCTTAGGTCTTTGGCACTAAATGTGATCCGTCACGTGCCTTGGTTAACTTCTGGGTAGGCTTGTCCTTGGAGACTTATATCATAAAGCTGTCAGCCTGCCCATGTGCCCCTGGAGGTCGAAAAGTTCTTTACATATCCTAGTCGAGCTGAACTTATAGGCGGTTGGCTTTAGCGCTTAGAAACATCCTCTCCTAAGCCCACTAGACCTTGGACTTTTTGATCTCCCTTGGGCTTTATGTGGCTTCTCTCCCGACCTACACCATTATGTGAGTCTAAAAGTGCCCAACATTAACAGGTGTCTCTACAGTTACTGATGGACGGGGTTAGGCGACGGAAATGCAAAGAATTACGTAGCCTATGAGCGGGTCGGGTTCGGGACCTCAAGAGATCTTCTTCATCTAGCTTTCAACTTCCAAGCACGACGTCTTCTAGACTGTAACAGTTGGAGATGGAGTTAGTGAGCTAACAAGAAGTTGCCTGCGAGCCAGAATAAGCGCACCTGAGAGAAGAAGCTTGGGAAGAAGCGGCGTGCCATTGAGAGAAGGAGCTTTAGAGCTACATTTCTAGTATAGCCCAAGCATAACAGCCTTTGGCATTCGCGCCCCCGATCCTCTGATGACCTTCAGCCGGCATCCATGAGCCACCCCCACTGGTAGTTAGTTTAGAATATTTTACATACACTTGCACGAATATTTCAGTTTTAATATAATTAAATATTGCCACTTAGTACTGTCTAGTGGTATTTCTCTCACTTGTATGTGAGAGATATTAGGTTCGATTCTCGCCAAAGGCGAATTTGAACCACATTATTGCTAGCACATTGTGAGGCTAAGCCCACCCCTCCCCTTAGTGTAAATATTATCGTTTGTTCAAAAAAAAAATATATAATTAAATATTTTTTAGATTTGTAGATTAATATAATTTAAATAAGATTTTTTTTTAAAAAATTAAACCTTTTGCCCGATGATACGTTCGTCGAGCATGTATTTTTATTTATTTTTCTTTAAATTAACTGCCCGACGACTAGTTCGTCGAGCACATTATTTTTGTCGGGTCAAGTTGGTAAACGCACTTTAAGCAATGAAAATTAAAGTCTTATCGAGCAAATGTTTCAGCGACGGGTTTTATGCGACGAACTTGACCCGACGAATGTTTGCCAGGTAAAACCTGGGTGACGAAATAGTGTTTGACCCGATGAAATCCTTTCGTCTAAAAAGGGTTTTTTTTTTGTAATATTTGCGGGTGTAGAATAGGGAAGCAAAACTAATCTACCAGAGATCAATAAACCAAGTTTCAAGGATAAGCTCATTCTCTGTCTCAATCAATTAACGAGTTAATATTTCCTGAGCAAAAACCAAAAAGGAAAACTAATAAAAATGACTTGAAAACTTTGAGTTTTAACGATAAAAACAAAATAAAGGGTAAAGTGAATAGTATAAAGATTGACTTTTTAGTGTAAAAATGTGGTTTTTCATTAAAGTGAACAGTACCAAAAGCTTTTCGTTAAAGTTCCCAAACCAAAGAAGATAGCAGTTTTTTATTTTTCAACTGCAAACACAAATTCAACACTATTGTTTCTAACCTCTTCACATCAAGGGTAGCCTTGACCAAGCTGCAGGTAAGATGCGTCGTGTTCAAAACTGGTGCTGCTTCTATTAGAATTTAGGGACTACAAATTCCAACGATGAGTCTTTGAAGGCCGAATTACTGGGCAATGAGTGAAAGAGAAAAGGAGAAAATCAAAAAGAAAAAGTTAAAGCAAAAAAGAAAAAGTTGAAGTTGACTTCTAATACTCCCCTCAGGCTGGAGAGATTTGTCAATGTCACCGATATACGAGGTAGTACACCACGTGTTACTATATAAATGATGAGATATATGTGTTAAAAAGTTAATAACTTAAAAAATAAAATTTCCCACCACTTACATAAAAACACGTGGTGTACCACCCTTATTCCCATCACAAGGAAAAATTTATCCTCAAGCTGATCAAGGAGATTGACTGTTTCAAAGCTTGGATAGAAGTCGATGAAATTGAGTCATGGGTAGGGCCTTGGTGAGAACATCAACAAGTTGATCATGGTTGCGAGGATAATGAGTTTGAATCGTTTGGGATTAAACTTTCTTTCGAATGAATGACAATTGACTTTGATATGCTTAGAGCATCTCCAAGGGAGATGTTGAATTTAAAACATCAAATTAAAATTTGATGGCTTATGTAACAATTTGGCATCTTCACTTATTTTATGTTTCTTTGTTATTATTTTAACCTTGATATACTATAAATTGATGCTTCTCTCCTCATTGCCAATTTTGACGGCATGGAGGCAATGTGCATTGGTGCTTGATTGTCACAAACAAGGTTCTAAAAGACGCTAGGCACTAGTCGGATAGCGGACTGCGGCGTAGCGCCTAGGCGGTTAGGCGGGGTCTAGGCGGGCGCCTAGGCGGATTAGACAGATTTAAATAAATCCATTATATTTCGTGTAAATAATTCTCTGTTTATACTTAATATATATAATTTTATCATAAACTACAAAATAGAATGACATATGTATTATGAAGTATTGAAACATAATGAAAACACGGGAAACAAGCATATAATGTGTGCTCATTTAAGTATTTGACAAATCTCTTACAACTTATTAAAAAAATTAAATGCAAATTAAAAGTTATTTATTTTCTGTCTACGTGAGTCGCAACCTAGATGGGTCTGGACGGGTGCCTAGGCGGTCTAGGTGGGCACCTCAGTTGGTCTAGGCACCATTTCTTAATTTTCAAATGTCTAGACATTAATCGGGACGGTGGCCAGCCACCTAGCGCCTAGGCGGTGCTAGGCGGGGATTTTTAGAACAGTAGTCACAAATAGCCCTGTGCACAGTACGGTTCGGTTCGAGATAGAGGTGGAACCAAAACCGAAACCGAAACAAATCTTGGTACCGGTACAATACGGTGTATGGGGGTGGAACCGAATGTGTGTGGAACCGTTCAGTACCAGTTCGAAGATGGTTTCGGTTTTGGGCTGCAATGACAGAAAATTCGCAGAAATTTCTGGTTGGATTTGGGATCAGTGAGCTTCAAAATTCCCAAAACTTTCAATTGGCAAAATGATGAACTACGATTGGCTTGATTGCTTCACAGGTTAGGTGCACAACAAAGTAAAATGAAAGGTTTCTACACTGTTGAATTATTAGTTTGTTTTTTGTCATGCTTTGGGATTGGAGCGTGACAACTTTAATGATATCTAATTTTTTTTTTTTGTTTTGTTTTGCAATTGATCATATCATAAACAAAGCCATAAGGTTGAGGAAACATGGAAAGCCGGCAACTGGCAAGCAAAGGTACACAGCCATGAGGACAGAGAAAACAAATGACACCGCCACAAAAAGCAAGAGTCTGACCTTACCCTCACACAAAATAAACTAAGTCGGGGGGGGGGGGGGGGGCGCAAGGTAAACCATCTTTATTTAGAATTCTTACAAACAAAGATAGGGGCTTATTTACCCAGACAGAGTTGCGCATCTCTGGAACCTGGTGTGACGCAACAAAATCCGCCGCATCATTTCTCAATCTTGGTATCCAGGACCATCTGCATGTATGCATTGAGGCACCAATGTCTAACACACGAGTTAGCACATGGAAAGCCTCCCAAGTCGCTTTGCTAATTGATTCCTTTAACCAAGTGATGATAGACATAAAGTTGGATTCCATAACAACCTAGGTCAAATTTTCTTGCCGAGCTAGAAAACAACCCTCAAGCACAGCGAGAGCCTCATCAGCCGGTATGAAGTTCTCGTACATTTTCATTAGAGCGAGGGTTATTATTGAAAGAAAAAAAAGGAGAAAAACAAAAAAGAAAAAGTTGACAGCAAAGCATAGGTGACCCACTGGGAAGTTCTCGTGTGAGTTCCTAGAAACAAAACCGTGAGGGCGTGGCCGGGCCCAAAGAGGACAATATCGTGCTACGACGGAGCCTGTCTTGGATGTGACAGAATGGTATCAGAGCCACTATGCCATTCGGTGCGAGTGTGCCAATGAGGACGTCGGGCCCCTAAGGGGGGTGGATTGTAACATCCCATATCGACCAACGGAAAGAGGGTGATGTGTCTTATATGTACATGCCCACCTCTATATAGCACGATACTTTTTGGGAACTCATTGGCTTTGGATTCCATTGGAACTCCGAAGTTAAGCGAGTTCGGGCGAGAGCATTCCTAGGATGGGTGATCCCCTGTGAAGTTCTCGTGTGAGTTCCCAAAAACAAAACCGTGAGGGTGTGGCTGGGGCCCAAAGCGGACAATATCGTACTACGGCAGAATCGAGACTGGGATGTGACACCTGCAATCCTAGTTTTTTTATATAAACATGCTCCAGCTTCTGAACCACTCACCTTGATTCCCCATGTTCATAACTTTCTGCGTAGTACTTCTCTTGGACTTATGGCACAAACAGTTGCAAATGATAGAAGCTCAGTCAATGCGAAGATCTTCATAGTCTGAGTTTAAACTAGCCAATAATTGCAAGATCTTATCTTCTTCAACCCTTTTGAGCAGAACAAAACTTACTTTCCTCTTGAAGTGCAGCAATATCCTCTTGAGTTGGAAGACTCGAGCAGAAGTATTTTGGTTTCCATATATACATCTCTTTGATTGCTTTCCATGGTTGAAGAGAAGTGTGAAATCGCGTCCCTGTCCCCGGATTTCAGTATCCAAATTTTTTGTATTTCTTATTTTTGGGAATTTGATTTAATTTTCGTTAATTTAAGAGTTACAAAGCTTGGTTTTTTGTAATTAGTCATTAAAAATCCATAGACCTTTCGAGTCATTCTTAAAATTTTTGAATAGAGCTTGATCCACGAACATGCAGGCGAAAATTGTGCATGAATCGGAGTTGTAACGAAAGAAAAATAAGCAAGCAAAGGTAGAGGCAATTTCATCATTTGGAATGCTATATAAAAATGGCTCCCTCTACCCACGTTCGACCTGGTCACTGGGCAGCTTTTCAGGCACCGTTTCCGACAGATCAGACGACAAAATTGTCGTTACCACCACCATTCGGTTCGTCTCCCTCTCACAATCACAATCCAACAACCTTTGTTTCGTTTGGTTTCAGTTCGTGGCGGTTTGAAACCGCCGTTTTTTCTCAAGCTTCCCAGCCAATGATCTTCCATCTACGACTACCCATACATCACCCACCACCAAGACACTCACTTGGGTTTGGCCTACAAAACCCAAACATCAGACCAGCCATCGAAGCGATTGCGGCGAAGTGGCGACTATTTCGGCCACCCTTGGCTTCCATGGCAGTTTTCACCGGTTTTCGTCCACATTCAAACTCCAACAAAGTACAATTAGCTTGATCCCTTCACAGGGCAAGTAGGTAGTCTAAACCTAAGGTTAGGTGTAGCCACAAAATAAATGAAAAGTTCATATGCGGTTGAACTATTGGTGTGTTTTTGGTCATGTCTTGGGATCCGAGCATATAATGACATGTATTGTCAAACTTGATGTTAAATAATTCTGGGAACGGTTTGAAGTGTGAAAGGTATTGAAAATTTCAAGGATGAAATTTCTATATGGGGGAGGATGTGAAATCGTGTCCCCGGGTTTCACTAGTATTTTCGAATAGAGCTCGATTCCACAAACGTATAGGCGAAAATCGTGTGCGACTTGGATGTTATTGAAACGTTATTTGTTGTTGAATGTAAAACTATGAGTTGTCTGGAACTCTGTGTTTTCATGCTAGATAATACCATGAGAGTTTTTGGAAGTCATTGCAAATAAAAGATTTTTAGTGCTAACAAAATGATGAATTACGATTGGCTTGATCCCTTGACAAAGTATGTCAGCAGTCTAACCCTAAGGTTAGGTGCAGCAACAAAGTAAAATGAAAAGCTCCTACGCTGTTAAGCAATAGGTTTGTTTTTTGTCATATCTCGGGGTAGGAGCGTGACTACTTTAATTTCTGAACTTAGGTATTAGGTTCTTTTCATTAAAGTGAGAACTATAAGTGAAAGAAAAAAGAAGAAAACTAAAAGAAAAAGTTGACAGCAAAGCAAAAGTAAAAAGTTAAAGCGAAAAAGAAAAAGTTGAAATTAGCTTCCAATATTTCTCAATAGAGCTGCAAAGCTGTGCCTAAATCTATTATCGCAACAGCAGTAACTGAGAACCTTTTCGTATTCTTCTATTATCGCAAAGCAGTGCCTAGACTCTAACTAGTTCAGTGCCTCGGGTTCAAGCTGTGTAGCTAATTCAAAGTTTCAAATTTTCATTTTAATGGGCATGAATATTGCCTCATTGTGCTTGGGAAGAAGAAAGGTTTGCCTGATTTGTGTGGGTACTTGAAGAAAGACCTTTGTATGGTTTGAAGATTAAAGTGTACGCGTATTCATTTATACAATCTTTTCGCTTTCAAATTTTACCAAATCCACGGTATCCACAATGGCACAATGTATGAAGCCATTGAGTAGTTGCATTTTTTTTTTTTTTAATGAATTGGAAAAGAAAGAGATTGCACACCGAGTTTATTAGACTTACTACAATACGGAGATGAAAAGACATATTTCGTCCAATGTGCAGGAAGCACGTTGCATGTAGATATTTTTCAATTTGTCCGGAACGCGGGATGATACGCTACATGTCATTATACAATTAGAGGAAAATTTTGTTTTTTCCAAGTGTATTATGACATGTGGTGTACCACCCTGTGTTCCAGACATACTGAAAAATCTCTACATGGAATTCCTTCTCTAATAACATTATATATGGGTAAGCCCCTCTTGAAGCAAAAGATAATTGTTTAGCCTTAACAGTTGTTTAATCAATTTCAATTTTATTGCCATGGCTTGTTATCTCTTTCAACAAAATGGTTAAATACTTTATCTGCTTTATGTTACCGGTTTTAGTCTAAAACAGTATGGGCTTGCATTAACACTATTTTGTTTCAGGGTTTTCGACATCATTTTCAGATTCACCTCCGACTCATTACGCTCTAAAAATCCGGTCGTTTTCAGTGCTAACCAAAACTTCAGCGGACGAATATGAGTCGGGAGAATTTGAAGCTGGAGGATACAAATGGTAAATCCCTCATTATATCATCTGCTAAAATTTGAGTTTAATATCATCTTCTGCAAACTTATGTTTCACTCTCACTATCTGACATTAGTTCTATGACATTTTCTTTTTTGTAATGCAATAATGTGTTTCGTATATCATGTGCTGTGCATGTAAACTGGTAAAAATAAAATGTTAGCCATACTGCATGTTTGCTCTCAGGAAACTAGTGCTCTACCCGAATGGAAACAAGAAGAAAAATGTCGAAGACCACATCTCTGTTTACTTGGAAATGGTTGGAGCTGATTCACTTCAGACTGGATATGAAGTATATGTTGATTTCAGGTTCTTTTTGCTTGATCAGAATAAAGGCATGTTTCTGGTTCTTCAAGGTACATATTACCTACTTCAAAAGTTAATTCTCATCAAGTGTTCATATTCATAGACCGGAAATTTTTCTTGTTTGAAAATTGCAATACTCCCTGCTCATTTTCTGATCATTATTTTTTACCTTATGTATTCCATAGATGCCAATAAAAAGGAAAAATGTTTCCATGCGATGATGCGTCATTCGGGATTTGATAAGCTTATCACTCTTGCATCATTTACTAATCCTTCCAACGGATATGTCATTGATGATAATTGTGTGATTGGAGCTGAGGTCTTTGTTTGTAAAGAAAGAAGAGCTGGCAAAGGAGAGTCAATCTCGAAGATCAAGGATGCTGTTAAGTCCAAGCATGTTTGGAAGGTTGAGAACGTTTCAAAGTTAGGTACTGAGTGCTGCGAATCAGAACCATTCACTGCTGGAGAACGGAAATGGTATCTCTGCTAGGCCCTTTATATTAATACCCTTAATAAGAGAACTTTAAATTTTCAATCCACTGTATAATCTCTTGCCCCTCATCTTGTTTTACCTGCAATGATAAACGAAAGGATATGAACTTTGAGTTTCAAACTATATATGCTATTTTAACTACATAACTTTCGCAATAGATGTGGTCGATCACTGTAAAACTTGATTTTTTTTCCTTTATTTATTTATTTTTATTTTTAGGAAAACCTCAATTGTTCGAGGGGAATTTTATTAATAACGAAAAAAGAAGTTACACCTAATCAGGGAGGACATAAACCTAATCTCTCATATGTAAAGAAGGGGATCACTTAAAACTTGCTGAAATTTAGCTTCCGATGTAGGAGTTTGCTCTTTTAATTCAATCCCAAAGATGTGAGATGAATTGGGCCCCATCCCAAATAATGAAAGATATGTAATAAAAAGTCATCATATCCTTCCTAATGTTGCAGGAAGATAAGTCTCTATCCCAAGGGAAATAACTTGGAAAGGGTACTTACATATCTCTTTACTTGGAATTGGATGATCCCGAAAAACTTGCTGGTTCCAAAGTATTTGCAGAGTTTTCCCTGCTCATTTTAGATCGAATGTATGACAAACAAGAGGGCAAAAAAGGTAAAGATTGTTCTATTTCAGTGTTTAATTGTATGCATCCTTCATAACATCAGGGTGTATTATGTGCAGATAACGTCTGGTTCAGTACCTCAAAGTCGGTTTGGGGCTGGCCTAAGTTCATTTCGCTGGCCACCTTGAATCAGGCAGGCAATGGGTTTTTGGTGAAGGATACTTGCATGGTGGAGGCAGAGGTTGCTGTCCATGGAATTGTAACTGCACTGTAGGCGGCATGTCGTTTGTTTTGGCTGTTGCTAAAAAGATGTTACGATTGAAAGGACTAAATGCCTTGTCACTGTGCATGGTGTTGTAAAAGCACTGTCTAGATGTGGGTGTACCATAGTGCTAAAATCCTCGTTCACCAAATGACTTGTGATTGAAGGGTATTTTGTTGTTTTTAATTAATTTTGGCTGAAGTTTGTGATTTTTGCGAATTGGAAGGCCGGTTTTCTTCTTTATAAGTATGTTATGCATAAAACATATTGAACCATTGGCATGCACATTTTTGACATTTCACCTCGTCGTGTGAGGTCAGCTAAGACTAATAAATAGGCAACCTTTATTCAGAGACGTGAGCTGTTTGGTTTAGCAACAGCCAAAACATTCAGCTCAAAGTTCACATAGCCTCTATGTATCTCACTGTGTCCCGGCCGGTTCAAATTTCAAACCCTCCCTCCCCTTTTAGTGTTAATTAATGTAGAAGGTCGCTTATAATAAAAACAAAAACAAAACATTTCGAGTCGCTCAAGTAGCATCTCAGTGTTTAGCAAAAAAAAAAAAAACTTGTTTGGATTATGATATTCGGTAATAGAAAGCAACATTAATAGAAATTAAAATTACTTATGTGCTGTAACAACATTCCGATGTATTACTCTTTGGAGATCATAAGTAACATGACAATGACTGTAACGATAATGATGATGTTGTCAATAATTGTGATACATCTCATTGTTTTTTGTTTTCTAACTGCTATGAATATATTTAACATTCTTTTTTGATTGAACGAAAACGTTAACTTTGTTTTGTATTAAGTTCTTTGTTAACTTTGGGATCTAATTATGTTCTTTTGTTAACAACTTTTTGCACAGCTCCATTCTCTAAACAAATCTTTTTAAAAACGCCTCTCACGCGTGAGGCGTCATCTTCTCCCTATGTAATCAAAATGATAAGAATTCTGTTTGTTTTTCAAAATTTTCAATTAGGTAACAAGGGCACCTCTTGAAGCAAAGGAAAATTGTTTTACTTCCATGGCTAGTCTTAATTTTGACCATGATGGCTGATGAGTCGATTTCATATTTTATATTTGATCCTATTCTTAGTATATTTAAGTAATTATTTTGGTGAAATTTTGATATTTTGAATTATATTTACAATGTAGGACATTCAACTTCCTCTTGAGCAAAAAGTGATCAAACAGACGAATTTGGAGTGATTCCAATTGGAGGATGTTCGTGTATCTCTCAACTTGTTCGTGTCAAAGTTTCATATTTTTCTATCATGCGGTTTATTTATGACGATGAAATGAAGGAGTAGGGCGCAATGATGTTAAAGTGGCGTTTTGGGCTTAATTGGGCTTTTTGGCATCCATGATGATGTCTTTTGGGTTTGATGCCCTCTGAAATTATGTTCGGGACATCTCAAACTTTCATTCTAGTTGTTTTGGGCCTATTTTGAGGCCCTGAAGATCCATAAATGTGGCTTATTTGTGGCTGGGCAGATTTCCCATATTTGATTAGGATTATGTTTCTCAGTTTCTCTAAAGTTATTATGTTTCCTAGTTTTTAGAAGACATTTTCTAGTAAGGATATTAATTGTGTAGTAGTATAAATAAGGCTTTTTAACCATTAGGGTTTTGGGGAGGGGAGAACGCTTAAATTTTGAAGAACTTTGCTAGGCTTTGAGGATTTGTATTCTTATTTCAAGGTGTTTTCTATCCTCGTTTTTAATAATATTTTGTTTTAAGATTGTTCGTAACTAATTTTCTTAGGCCATGAGCCTTAGCAAGAATATACAGTTTCTTTTCAACTTACTTATGGTTCTATGCATGCAAGTTTGAATTATTAATCACCGTGTTTAAATTATCTACTTGTCTTAATGCTTGATAACCATTATGATATTTAGAAAAGTAATTTGATGCAATTTTGGTTGGAGTTGGGGTCCCTGAAATTGACGAAGTGACACGTCCCAACCCAAATATCCCCACATACCAGGGTAGGAACGTGCTGGCCGACACCTAAGGATGACGAAGCCATTTTAAACATGCTTACCAATAAAAGATATTGTTGACCATAAAAACTACCAAACCTACGTGGCGTGCAGACTAAATAATTAATGAGCTAACTATATCATTCGGTTATATGCGGGGCGTGCCAACTCGACGGCCGAGCTTGGCCGGTGAGTAAAATGAGTTGATGTTGCGTTGAGCGCGCTGCTGGCTTCTTGATCCTGCGACTGCGGCCGAGGAAGGAACATGTCCTGGCCTTTGGGTTCCAGAGCCTAAAGACAAGGCAGCTAGTTCTGCGAAGTTCACAAATCATCAGCGCTGGGTTTAGTCACAATGATTATATTCGTAAAAGTATAAGCATGTCGAACTGGCAGCAAACTATATGGACACAAGTACTTAAAAGAGATGTATGTCTTGATGGTGAATGTGGTTCGACCGTCATGATGTCGAACTCTAAAACTTACTTGTGAATATCCTATCATAAAACAACTCGGCATTCAATGTGCCGAGCCCAGTAACTTGTAATACCTCACATGGCCGAAAAAGCTAATGAGATGACTTCTGCCAATAAGGATTCAAGAATCCTTCTCGACTGAGACTTGGATAGGTAACCAGTCGGTCTCAACATAGTACTGTTTATCTAAATTGAAGGTGTTTTGCGGCCGGCTGATTCTACGACAACAATGCTGTTTATTCAAATTGAAGATGTGTCGGCGAAAAAGAAAATAAAAATCTCAAGGTTGTTAAGAGGTTTCGCGTAGAGCGAGAGTTTGTGCAGGGCAATTTATGTGTTGAGTTGAATAGGGTTTTCCAGTTGCCACTGCCTCTGTATTTATAGCAAGTCTCCTTGATCTCCAATCCAATAGAGACCTTTTCCAAATATACTCCCAAAAACAATAACTGATGTTATCTTTAATATATTTCGGCAAAAATCTCCCTAGTCTCCTTATGCCTGGTACTTTTACAAAAGGAACAACAGGTGTCCCTTTGAAATATCAAAGTGCCCCTTCACACAGCATGGATACTGTGCTCCCATCATCAATTCTTATCACTCCAAACTCATCTGACAATGCCCATCACCATGCAAAAAGGCCTAGCCTATCTAGGTTTCTTATCTCATCATTATCCA